ATTTTCTCCGAGCGGTACGTTCAGAAATTTGCACACCTCGAGCTGATGAATCGCTTGAACAACGGTAAGGTGCCGGTTTCGTAAAATTCTCAAAGTCAAAAACCGGTCATCCCGTGGTTCTGTTATCCTAGGCCGTCCAGAACCGGGCCTTCTATTGTAAGAACCAGTTTCCCGAAAACGCCTGACGTCTCGTAAAGTTTCATATGGAACTCCGATGGCATTAGCTGCCTATCTAATGGAACGTCCATCATGAATAAGTGCCAAACCACGCGCAACATCCTCAGCACCAAGAGGCATTTTTAAACTTAATATTGAAAAAATTAAAAGCCGGAGACTAAGAAATGTGCTGCAAGAAACGGCACTGAACTAATGATACTGAATAAACATTTTGATTCCATAGAAAGTAAACATTGGAATCTAGAAACATTTCATTGAATTAAGGTTTAAGGGTTATTGTCCTCTATATTAACATTCCTGATTGAAAACAAACAAAAGGATTACCTATTTATTCATTAAAAACAATAGACCAATCCAAAGCAGAAATATTTATAGATGAAAACATGAAAAAATCAAGTGGGTGGAATTTTTTGCCTTTCAGTGTATATTACACCGTTTCTGTCTCACCGCTTTTCAAAGGCGAGTAGATGGTTCCAGAAACCTCATTTATGTGTATTTATTATACTTAATATTTATATTTATATACGATCCAGAAGGCAACCGATCTACCTAAAAATATATTAATTATGTTATTTATGATGTCATGAAATCACTTCAGGAAACAAATGAGGCTGTATTAAAAACTTTATATCACAAATACACAAAACTCTTTTATTTATATTACATAAACATCACACTATCACGGACAAAGGACTACTGCTGTCTGGATATCCTCACCCAAGCCAAACTGCCTTTGTTTACATGCTACAGTGCTACCTGATAACATGCATTAACTCTACATATTTAAAAGCTAGTTCCCACTGACCTTAATTACTGGGCCCTTCCTTAACCAACATCGCCACACTATTTACATACAATTATCTAACTTTCATTTGTTTTTGGGGGGTCTTCCCCTTCCACTCCTTTAAGGCTATACTGGGTTTTCATGAGCCAGGGGGTGTGAGCGAGGATTTAAAAGGCACCGGGACGCGAACTCGTGATTATTTTATAGCAATATTCTCATATATAAGATTGCCGGGCAACGGCGGTGCTGTGCACACACTTAAGCCGCTTCGACCACCCTGCCCACAATACCATTTTCTAATTATTGGTCTTGTTGAAGAGCACATCAATGAGGAAAAAGGAAGACGCTTTCGACACGTATACCGTATACCGGGTGAAATGATTTTTGATAGATGAGAAGCATGAATATGTACTATCACAGTAAATAGACTGGGACGGTTTGAAAAATAAATGAACCAATTTGCAATAAGATTCAAATTCCTCCAGCTCCGAATATTCCGGTAAGATGTAAAATATGGTTTTATTCCTCCCAATTCTATATAAATGAAAACGAACTGGAGAAAACATTTTTTATTGGTCTTTGTAAGCAAACAGCGAATTCCTATTGTGTATATTCTTATTTTCTAGAAGTAATTAAAGCAAACAATTTTCTTTATTTGTTTTTTATTTTTCTCTATTTAAAACCATTCTCTTTCCTTAGAATAAAGATAGTACCAATTCCTTCAATATTTTAGAAAATACATATCATATACATTTCAGGAAATTTACTTGATCATTATGATCGAAAATATGCCTCCTACCATAAATTGTAACAAACCAAAATCTTGAAAATACATCTATATTATGAACAAAAAATCTTCGTTGACTTTTTATTCCCTCGATTTATATTCCACAAAACAACCTCTGGGAACTTATTAATGGCAGAAAATTGAGAATACAATTAGTCAGAAGAACTTTTAAACCAATATTGCCCCTGGCGATTCGCGCTCTAATAATAAAATCAAATATGCGGCATTAGCCTTAAGACAAAAACCCTTTTTACCTCATCCTCCACACTCCCCCACCATTTTCCTATCCAATTATTACTTGTTTTTTTCTATATAAAAAAATCGATAATATATTAAGAATATATCATTTGTTTCATATTTCGATTCTTGTTAGTTAAATTGAACACTAATTATATTTTTACTTACAACTGAAAATTCATATCGCTTCATAGTCACCTCGTTTTAATTTTTGTTTTCATGATTAGGAATAATTACATTCATTGACATACGAACTGTCTTATGAAGGTTTATAATCACCCTCAATGAGGATGGTTAATTGCAGTACCAATGCCATCAAATCTGTGAGGAATTTCAATAAGTTTATTTTCTTACTTTATTATATCTATAGGTGTGGAATCGGAAAGCCCCACGAGTTGGAAATCCCGAATGAGTCCACATTCCTAACCTGCTTCCACAAACTGGATCCTCCCTTTAGACCAACTCTTTGTTGTTAGCTACTGTTCAAGGAGACATGGTTAGATGCAAATGAGGCAGTTAAGGATACACCTATAATTTATTAATAATAACAAACTATAAACTATAAGGCCAGATTTATGTTTTTATGCTTCCTGTCTGAACCACACATTAGTCCTCTTTTTGTAACTCTTTCCTCTACTCAGTGGCGTACTTTTTAATCCCTCATATTCACTTGAGGAATATAGCCTATTGGTTTAAATAAAAAAATAGTGAAAGTGTTTATTTCATAGACATTTCAACCAAATGAAAATAAGAAAATTGTCTTATAACTAGTGTTGTCCACGGTAAACGGTCTTGGTCGTGTTCTAGCATTTTCGCCAGACCAAGACCAAGACTATCCTTATAAAATTTGAGCAAGAACAATACTGATCTGTGAGACGCTTTGTCACGCATTTAGAGGCAGTCATCATATACATTTTGTCTATTCTGACATGTCGCGTAAATATATGATAAATTTTATGTAAATTTTTAAATATAATGCTCCATGCGCACCACAAAACTTTAACTTAGCAACTAGAGGATTTAATAAGCAAGCACATTAGAGCTAGGGTCTCAAAAATCTGTGTTCGATTCCCACCGGGGTTAGTTAATATTTATTTCTCGACAGCATGAGAAATAAATCATGACTCCTACTCCTTTTCTTTTTTTTTTTTTTTTTTTTAGATTTCTCTTTTATCGCTGTTTCTGGTACATGAAGGGGTTGTTCTAGATGTACAACTAAACCTACTCTAGCCAATGTGGAATGAATCTCGATCATTGCAAGGGCCCAATATTCCATAATATAATATATAATATTCTATAATCCTAATAAATTTCCACCAGCCTAGTCAAGACTAGATTCGAGAATATTTTACTGTTTAACAAGCTCGACAATCACGACCTCAACACTCAATATTTAATTTTATAAATCTAAACACATGTTTTTCTAACCAATAAACACGATTTGAAATATTTTCGGCTCCATGCACATCATTCCTTCTTTAATAATGAGGAGTGCCCATCCCCCGAAGGTCGATGACTCTAGCCCCTCCACTCCTCTCCCATATTGTATTGCTCTCAGTTCTTAAAAAAATTGCATGCGAATTTAGAATTTAAAAAACCGAAGATCATATACAATTACATTTTCTGTGGTTCTTCCATGTTTTCTTCTTGTCCTCCGGTTTTAAAATTTTCATTCCAAAAAATGTCCCCCTCTCAAACCTTTTGATGGAGTGTTGCGCAAATGCGAGACCGAGACGAGTCTTGGTCTTGCGAACTCAGTCTTGGTCTTGCTGCAAGAGTCTTGTAACAGTCTTACATTTTCTTATTATCTTATTACTATAGAGATATATTACTGTATTTTTTTTTATAGGAGAAACCTAACTAAGCCCGAATGAAAAATTAGAGGAGTTAAATGCAAATGTATATTGGTTATACCAATAAGTAACTAAGATTGTCAAGTATAAGTAACTATTTTGCCTTAATTTTTTTTTTTATAATCTATAATCTGGTCTTGGTCTTGCAACAGTTAGGCGGCCTTGTTCTTGATCTTGCAAAGTGCAAAACCAAGACCGATTTTGGGCAACATTATTTTGATGGCGCAACTTGCTCCACGAAACCTCCTTCTGAGCATCCCTGTTAATAATAATATAATAAAATAGGTCTTATAGAATTTATGAATGACAATCCTATTCATTATATATTTTTAATTTGTTATGCTCAGAAATAATTTTAAATGTTCACATTCGAAATTTAATTTTGAAAATTAATTAATAACGGATAATAAATGGAAACGTTTAGTGTCCGTTAAATAATACTAGTTTTCATAAATTATTACAGTTAATCTTTTCTTTTTCAACGACTTATCTCGTATGATTTCTATGACTTATATATATTATCTCGTTTTTTAATTATCCCTGATAAAGGCCTATAAGTAAGAAAGAAAGAAAGAAAATGAATTTTATTCTGGGACATTTAATTTCCTCGAACGAAATGACAATGGTGTGGTTTTTTTTTTTTTGGTTTTTTTAGCTTGTTTATTGAAAAATATTACAATCTGTCTCAAAGTGCATCTGTTATTAGAATGCAATTAAAAATAAATAAATTTACAAAGTTGTCTAAATCTATAATTAAAATAAAGAAAAGTCACTGTAGTAGATATATGATCTTGAAGTGGACATTTGAATTTAAATATAAATACATACGAGTGAGTTCACGTATTGGTACAAAGAAGCAATATGCATACTGGTAGATATGGTACATTTGGTACATGGTATATCTACAAGATATCATTAAAATGTGGTTTACATTTCTAAAATACAAAATGACATTATTTTTACATACATTCGGAAAATAGATTACTGAGGAGATGGAAAAATAAATGGTGTTTAAATGAGATCAAGGATGAGCATTTCCATATAGAGCTTGATAGGAAATTCCAAAACGAGAATTAGAATAATATTCAAGTTTAATACCATAATGAATATAACGTTTGTTTTTCATATGTTGAATATTTTTATTTATTTATTTATTTATTTACCATCCTCCCTTGCCTAATGGGATATACGGGTGTTTGCAGTGGTGGGATGTTATTCATGACTGCGTAACAACACAGTACTGCAAGTGAATCAGTTTACAAGTTGTTATGTTCTGTGACTTCTAATCAAGGGCGACCGTCTTCCAGCGGTCTTCTTGGTGCTGGTTGTGCTCTTCTCCGTGCTCCAATGATGAAGTAGGCTGGACACAGCGCCTCCTTCCAGCCACAAATAAATTTCTTGAACCATGGGCAGTTCTCCTTAATTACCAACAGGAAGTTCATCCTCTGTTAGGACGTAAACTCCCGCGGTTCTAATCATTGTTGCCCTTATTCGTTCGAATAAGCTTCTAATAAGATAATTATTCAAGCTGAAAAGCAGTTCCAATGGGAATGTCCTAATATCTTTGTAAATAAAGGATACTATAATTCTCTTTTGGTAATCCTTGATAACTTAATACAATACTAAAATTTATTAAACAAATTTAGATAGATTATGAGCAGCTTACCTCAATTAAATATCAAGGAGAGTCTTTTCTGATGGACTTAAATTATTCTAATAACAATACTGTATTATAAGTCTTTATGTTCTAAAGTCAAAACCTCGTGGAAAACCACGCGATGCTTCCTAACCTCACTGTTTAAAACTATTTACACTTATAAAAACACTTAAATTAACAAACCATGGCTAAAAAAGTTAAATAACAGTAAAGAAACATAAAAAACAACAAGATAAACAAAAGAAAGACCGCTAGACTCCTTCATATGTTGATTATGAAAAACATACAAAAATACGTACAAACATACAAAAAAAAATTGGACAACAATTGCATAGCCATCGACGTTCAACAATGAGCTTCCTCACAATTAAACTAAATTATTTTCTTCGAAATTAAAACAATCTGAAGTACTCATTGTTGAGAATATAAATTGATGTAAGAAATTTTAACAATGGTGTTATGATATGCCAGTATCTCCATTTCTGCGAATGTAAAAATGTGAATGTCTAAATGTATTTATTCGTACATCTAACATACAATCCAATCCATTCAAGTAGTGTTTCCTTGGATCAGATTTCTTTTTTCAACATTTAATACTTTGACTCTCTGCATTACCTAAAAATCATAAGAATTTTTTCCAAATTGTAAATTAGCAGTTTCGATCCTAGAAAATATTATTACATACTGTAATAATATATTACAGCTTAATATATACTGTATAAGCTGGATATATTTGAAATATATTTAATGCGATACAATGCCATCAGAAATTTTACTGGTGTAATGTACATAAGTATTCCGAGGATGTGCTTACAGGTCCATGTGTGCTAATTTACGTTTCACAAAAGGACCCATTAATCATGTAAAGATATTTCCAAAATAAATATAATATGTTTCAAGATTTTACACTTAAAAAAAAATAACATATGTGAATACAATAAACTTTCTCATTCGCATTAGCTATTTCAAAATTGGTTATGTTTCACATTTAACACTTAAGTTTATAAGAAATGATAAATTAGTTGTTTCTCTGAAGGGATCATTGGGGGGGAAAACTTATACTAAAAAAATAAAGAAATAATCTTTTTAGCACAATGGAGAAATTGTTTTTGTTAGAAGTTTTAGTAGAAAATGTTGAGATTGATTACACGAAAGTGGATGTTGATAAAAAGGTACTTGACGCAGCCAAGCAATTATGTATAAAGATTCAATTTTTAAGTTTTCCAGAATTAACCATATGTGAAGAAGATTTTTGTCCTTCCCCGGATGGTGATTATAAGAAGAGCAGTATTAATATAAAAAGTGGAAAATCGTGTTTGTTTTCTATACGCCAATGGAAAGCAGAAGATCGTTCCATGCCATTAACTGTTACAGTACTTCGAACCAATCCTTCCCCTCCTCACATCACTGTTGGTAAAGCATGCATCAATTTAGGATCTAGTTTCACCAATATCCTCGCTGCCGCCCAATCTAGCGAATATACCGAAACAATCACGAAGAAATGCACCGATGTATACGTCCTAACAAACAATAATGGAACGGATGTGGGAAAACTTCGGATGTTTGTGAGACTTACCTGTTTTGGACCATTAATAGTTACACAATTTCAAATATCTGGGGATGAAAATAATTCTTTTTTGTTCCGTGGGAATGATGGATCTGGAATCGTTACATTTAATCGAAATAATTCCAGTGAATTAGCACCACAGCCTGTCCATATTCCAACAGGACAGGTTCCATGTGGTGGATCTCAACAACCTAAATATACACAGGATAATCGATCACCAGATTGCCCTCCATGTCCACCTTGCCCTCCATGCCCACAAGAATGGAACACTGGGCAAGGAATGATGCCTCAAGGTGAACAAGGGATGATGCCTCAAAGTGGACAAGGGATGATGGCTCAAGGTGGACAAGGGATGATGCCTCAAAGTGGACAAGGAATGATGCCTCCAGATGTGCAAGGGATGATGACTCAAGGTGGACAAGGCATGATGGATCAAAGTGGACAAGGTGGACAAGGAATGATGCGTCAAGGTGGACAAGGGATGATGCCTCAAGGTGGACAAGGGATGATGCCTCAAGGTGGACAAGGGATGCCTCAAGGTGGACAGGGAATGACACCTCAAGGTGGACAAGGGATGCCTCAAGGTGGACAGGGAATGATGCCTTGGGGGGCACCTGGTGGACAAACAGCGATGCCTGTAATGGATCCTGGAATAATATCTTGGGGCGAACCAATGACAATCATGACTGCTGGTGGACAAGGTATGATGCCAGATAGTGGATTCATGGTGATGCCAGGTGGTGGGCAAGGGATGATGCCTGGAGGGGATCAAGGGGTGATACCTGGAGGGGGACAAACAATGATGCCTGGATTTGGAGGGGGGCAAGCAATGATGCCTGGAGGTGGGCCAGGGATGATTCCTGGAGGTGGACCAGTGATGATGCCCGGAGGTGGACCAGGTATGATACCTGGAGGGGAACCAGGTATGTTACCTGGAGGGGGACCAGGAATGATACCTGGAGCAGGTCAAGGGATGATTGTTGCAGCTCCTGCATATGGGATGGTAGGGGGACCAATGATGCCTTTTGGGGAGCAAGGGATGATGGTACCAGGAGGGGAACAAAATGACATAGATTATAAAGAGTTTGGTGCTGAAGTCAATGGCCATTCTCTTAGCATTAAAGTTTTAAGAAAACCTCGTATTCCTAAAAAAGTTCCTCCACCTCCTCCTATTTGTGGACATATTCCAATTGCCAAAACATCTAGTTCTAGTTCCTCTGAAGAAGAAACACCCCCAAGCCAACCTCCAATTCAATTCTGTGAATGTGACTACCCTTTACCACCTGGTTTCTCAAAAAATGGGTATATGCAAGGATCTTCACCAATGAAAAAGAAGAAAAAGAAGAAGGTTAAAGACAATAATTTTAAATGCCCATTAGAATGTTCTGGTGATGCTTGTTTACAAAATTACATGCTTTACAAGACATTGAACAATGCAAGACCAATAGAAGCAGCAGATAAAATGAGGAATCCAGCGCAACCTGCGAATAAACTAATCGGGATGCTTGGAGATGTTCCAGCCAATCAAAAAGCTACATTCAAAACTTTTGAAGAACCGATTCACACATCAGGAAATCCAGCATTTATCTTAAATATCCCACCAAAACCAATCCCACTTCAAAATAAACCATTTGAAAATCCTCATCAGTCTGAGCAAGCTAAGTTCAAATCTAAAAGAGTAATTGAAAATTGGACACAATACAATGAAAAAGATGTAGCTCCATTTGAAAAACAACCTGGTACTGAAACTAACAAAAAGGATAACCAGGGATCGAAAAAAAAAAAGGGTAAAAAGCCCAAGAAAGCTAAGAAAAAAAAGTAATTCAAACTATGTAATGTAACTGAAATGTTTTGTATTTGTTGGAATAGACAATAATAATCAATTTTATCCATTTTGTGTCAAATAAAAATATAAGAAATAGGAATTGATTTTCTTTTTATATAACTAGCATTACAGAATCAACTTCCTTCAGTTACACTAACTAAATGATACTTAGGAATAAGTAATGTTAATATGCTTATAATTATAAGCATGCAGATAACTTAAAAGCAGTAGCTCAACATAGACAGAAGTGGAGAAGGCGAGACAGATGGTCAAAGACAATGTCGGCCTTATACATTCAGCATCCCTGGGCAATGCCGTCATCTCCCCCCTCTCTAAAAAATTTAATTTATTTCTTATGTAATATTGGAATTTTATTACATTCAACCAGTTCTCTAATACAGTTGCTTTAATGGTGGGCTAATTGATTGTATTGATTATTTAAATACATTTTGGTACTTTTTTTTATCTTTTCAAGTGGAGAGAGACCCTGAAGATATGCCGGTGCCCCCAATCGGCCCCCCTCCAGTTTGTCACCTCTGAGCAATAACCCTGCTTGTCCTACCTTAAGGCCGGCACTGGTAAAAGATATACTAGGTCTGTAAATCAAATAGAAAACAAACTCATAAAAAATTTTAAGATTGACATAGAATCAGCTTATCATTTAAACAATGATTGAACATAAATAGCCCAGATTACAGGATTTTACAGAACAAATAAATCGTTATTCTTGCTTCCAAATGAAGTGGAGATCCTACCCCAGGCACAAATAATAAATGCATAATTATTTTAAGCTAAATATTCTCCAGAAACTTATTTATTTCATTTTTATTAAAAGTTAAAAGGTAGGAATTTTGATTATGAAAGAAAAAGAAAAGTATTCTTCATTGTGTTAAGAGAGGAATATTGGATTTCAAATCCCACCTGTTTGGTAACTCACTGTCTATATCTTTGCTATAAAAAATTGTAAATATAATAATAAATAGAAACGTTTATTTAATCTTTTTTTTTTCATATTCAATATAACATATTATTTTGAAACAATTAAGTGTAGTTAAACAATTAACTTTTGTCCTGACTACTTCTTCCTACCAGTATCTGTAGTATTAGAATCCAACTTTTAATGTATTATTGTTTTGTTCTAGTTTTTTGATAAGGTTCTAGAGCCCACTTTTCATTAACTTTCATTAACATTTGGCGATGTTTTAAAGGTATTTGTCCCAGAATCCCTGGAAAATCCACGGGGTGGAGGGGCTTATGGAAAATGGAAACAATTTTTTTTTTTTTTTTCATTAGTCCATATTTGTTTATATGATTGATCTGAACTAAACATTTAAACAATCAAAATAAGTACACTTTTTAAATTGTATTGCATGGATTTCTGGCCCTAAATATAAGCATGTATCAAGAAAAAATTATAAAAACATTATCCCTTAAAGCATTATTGTTCCAGTGAATAGTTTTTTACTATTATTACCTTATTTTTTGACAGGCCTTCAAGAGTATAAGCTAAATAAAATAAGCATTATTTTATATAGTTTCTTTCAGAATAGTTACCTTTATAAAAAAAATTTATACAAATCAAACGACCAAGTCATCCCAAAATTAAATCCTGGATCCACTACATCCCAGAATATATGAAGAATTTATTATTATTATTGTCATTATTAAAAAAAGTCAACATCTGTAGTATAATACGATGGGACCAATAGATATGATTATAACAGAAATATTTTAGTAAAGGATAATCTGATGAAAGGATTTCAATAGAAGGATCCCTCATGAATTCTTCAACAAAGCTTATTAGGCCAACACTTTATTGAATGTAATACATAATACATATAAGAAATCCTCCACTATTTAAATTTATACTTTCATCCAACCAAATATAACAACAAATGAAATGTTATAAATTAGTAACAAGAACATAAATATTAGTTAATAAAATAACAATTTCAAGGAAATAACATTAGGTACCCTTTCATCTCCTCTCAATGCGTCAATTCATTTTTATTTTTATTTATTTCAACAACGTTTCTGGCCAACTTTGCCCATTTTCAGGTCGAACTTTTTATCTAAAATATTACAATATATTAAACACCAATATATAAGATAAAGTTGTAACAGCACAATAATAATAACAATCTATAAAATTCACAAAATCAACTTAATGAATAAAATATCTACTTACATCATTATCTTATACTCTCCTTCTTCAAAAGTTAATTTCCTAACTATTTATGAAAGGTCCATTATACAATTAAAATAAAGATACTGAAAATTAACAATATATCTCATATAAGAAAAGCTAAACAAGGAATTTTTCAACATTTTACCATACTATTTTATAAATTACTTTTGGCACGTCTATTTATTTAATGCATATTTAATTTTATTAGTTATTCCTGGTATATATTTCAATTTTTAAAAAATCTGATCATTTTCATCATGTTTTGTGTCTTATTTTTATTATTTTATTATTCACATTATCATTTTAATTTTTAATGGTTTTAAAAAAATCTGTTATCAATCCCCCCTTTTTTATTATTATAATTATAGCTTTTTTAAACAATTTTTCATTAAGGCACTTATTACATTTATTGGCATTATTTATTTCCTGATATCTTTCATATCAAAGCCTTTTGATATATTTATAGGGGTAAAAATTATAACACAATATTTTAAAAATTTCTTTTAAATATCTATCATCAGTTAACCTTATAGATTTTTTCATTAGGTTTTTTGAAATGAAATGAAAAATAATTTTATTCTGGGACTGAAGTCCCCTTAGAATAATAGTAGAGTTAACGAAATATGTACCTTAGTCTGGCATGTAAGTATTATACAAATATATATAAAAAAATACCTAGGAAATTGTAAGCATATATATATATACACACACAATGATACTAAGAAAAATACAAATATATATAAAAAATAAATAAATAAAAGTACTAAGGAAAGTATCTACATAACATAATAACGATAAACATAGATAAATACAATAAAATACTGAAATATAAAAAAAAATTAATAAATAAAAATAAAATGGCTTCTATCTATTAACTGCTGATGGCCAACGTAATTATATAACCCAGAAATTTTTACAAGCTTGCAGAAGTTTGAATTTGTAGTAGGTGGTGGAATAGAAGTTGTTTGAAGGAGTTTATGAGCGTGATTTGAGGTATGGAGATGTTTAAGGAATTCCATAAGGAGGTAGCACGAATGACGAAGGATTTACTGAAGGAAGTGGTTTTAAGGGAGGGGATATATAAATCTATAGGTTGAGATCTGGTATTGAGAGAGTGGATAGAGGAGCGTAAAGTAAGTAGTTCTAGGATGTAGGGAGGGTTTTTGCTTCTGAGAACTGGAAAAAGGAAAACACCAAGTAGGAATTGCCGTCGGGAAGTATGATATAGCCACTGCAACTCAGTGTACCAACAAGAAATATGAGAACGCTTGGGAATCCCAAATATGAATCTTATGAAGCAATTCATAATTTTCTTCAGTCTTGCCTCCAGTTCTGTGGACAGCCCTCCATATACCAGGCAACCGTAGTCGAAGTGGGAGAAGACAAGGGATGTTACAAGGAGCTGTCTGTTTATTTTTAGGTCTGTTTATTTTTTGAATGGAATCACGGAACCAAAGGAATTATTTAAGGATAGTTATGGATTTATGAGTAATCTGGGAAATATGGTTGTTCCGAGAGGTTCTGATCAAAGATCACTCCAAGGTTTTTGACTGTCGGAAAGAAATGGATGGGACGGTTATTTAGGTAAAGCAAAGGGAAGAAAGAAAGGGAACTGATGAGGTGCTTGGAGCTGATTAGGATTGCCTTGGTTTTGTCTGAATTAAATTTTAGTTTACTTTTTTCTGCCCACCTATGGATACACTCAAAATCCTATTGTAGTTTTCGGATTGCCTCGTGTGTCTCAGATGGTTGGAATGATAAGTAAATTTGTAGATTGTCTGCATATAAGTGATAGTGGGAATGACTAATGGAGTCGGGAAGGTCGCTAATATAAATGGAAAACAGAAAAAAAAAATGGTGTATTTTTAATCTGTATGAGGTTTAACTGATGACAAATATTTAAATGAAATAAAAACTGAAATTTTTAAAATTTTGTGTAATCATTTTTATCTCTATAAATACACTGACAGACAAAAAATTCCACCTACTTGTTACCCATTAAGGAACCACGTTGGAAAGGTTGGCTCTGGGAAAGATTAAAGGCTGCATATCTTTCGTTTCTTCTTCTCCACACCCTTTCATGCCCGTCTGGAGATCGAAGAGCAAATCTTGACTCATCTGTAAAAAGTACAGCACTCCATTCATCCATAGTCCAATGGCTGTGTTCTCGAGCAAAAGCCAGCCGTGTTACTCTGTGAGTTCTGGTCAACTCTGGTCCTCTTACTGGAGGAAAAGCCATTAATCCATACTCATCTAATCTTCTCCGAGCGGTACGTTCAGAAATTTGCACACCTCGAACTTCTTCGAGCTGATGAATCGCTTGAACAACGGTAAGGTGCCGGTTTCGTAAAAATTCTCAAAGTCAAAATCCGGTCATCCCGTGGTTCTGTTATCCTAAGCCATCCAGAACCGGGCTTTCTATTGTAAGAACCAGTTTCACGAAAACGCCTGACGGTGTATCGTAAAGTTTCATATGAAACTCCGATGGCATTAGCTGCATATCTAATGGAACGTCCATCATTAATAACTGCCACACCATGCGCAACATCCTCAGCACTAAGAGGCATTTTTAAACTTAATGTTGAAAAAATTAAAAGCCGGAGACTAAGAAATGTGCTGCAAGAAATGGCACTGAACTAATGATGCTGAATAAACATTTTGATTCCATAGGAAGTAAACATTGAAATCTAAAATCATTTCATTGAATTAAGGATTAAAGGTTATTTTCCCTCTATATTAACATTCCTAATTGAAAACAAACAAAAAGATTACTTATTTATTCATTAAAAACAATAGACCAATCCAAAGCAGAAATATTTTTAGATGAAAACATGAAAAAATCAAGTGGGTGGAATTTTTTGCCTGTCAGTGTATATTAAAAGGGTTTGGTAACTAAAAATATTAAAGCTGTGGTTAATTTCAAAACGGATATTAAGTGGACTATGTAGATATAATTAACAAATTAGAATTTTAATTAAATTAAAGTAATTTAAATAATCATTTCAGCAAAATTGATTAGTAATAACATGAAAATTAAAGCATTAAAATGATGAAGTGCTCTTAATCACAAAGAGCATAATAATGTGTAAGACAACAGCTCACGGTGGACATAAGGCTATTAAAAATATAGGACGAAAATGTATTTTTAACTAGCGAGACGTGTCCAAAAGTAATTTATAAAATAGTATGATGTAGAGATGGTTGACCGTTAATATAATATGAGAAGGAGTTAGTCGAGGGTGCGGTCAAATAAATAAAAAAATTAAAATATATAAATTATTTTAATTTTTGCCGACATTTTGACCCACTTGGCAGGTCGTCTTCAGGGCTACAAAAGATACAAACATGTTGAAAAAATAAAAATAAAATAAAAAATAAATATAAGTATATATAAAATACAAAGAAGTTGTCAGATACAGAAATAAAATTCTGTTATATACTTATATTTATTTTTTATTTTATTTTTATTTTTTCAACATGTTTGTATCTTTTGTAGCCCTGAAGACGACCTGCAAAGTGGATCGAAACGTCGGCAAAAATTAAAATAATTTATATATTTTAATTTTTTTATTTATTTGACCGCACCCTCGACTAACTCCTTCTCATATAAAATAGTATGGTAAAATGTTGAAAAATTCATTGTTTAGCCTTTCTTATATGAGATGTATTGTTAATTTTCAGTATCTTTATTTTAATTGTTTAATGGACTTTTCATAAATAGTTAGGAAATTAACTTTTGAAGAAGGTGAGGATAAGATAATGATGGATTTTATAGATTGTTATTATTATTATGATGTTACATCTTTTTCATATATATATTTGTGTTTAATGTATTATAATATTATAGATAAAAAATTTGACTTGAAAATGGGCAAAGTAGGCCAGAAACATTGTCAAAATAATGAAGAGACAGAACATAAATGTTAGTAAAACACCACTCCATGAAATAATGTTCGATTAGCCACTTTTTTTCCTGTCCTGATGATGCCTGGATTGGCGAAACATTACTTCGCCTGCGTTTTGGAGATATAAGACTGTATGGTTTGGAATTTTTCCAATAATAACCTAACATTTATAGTTTTTAATTAAATCTTCAAATTTTCCAACACATTTTAAATTAATTAATAAAATTATTAATTTCAAGGAAATAACATTATGAACCCTTTCATCTCCTCTCAATAATTAATTATTATTTTTATTATTTTGACAAAGTTTCTGCCCAACTTCGCTCATTTTCAAGTCAAACTTTTTATCTAAAATATTACAATACATTAAACACAAATATATATGAAAAAGATGTAACAGCACAATAATAATAACAATCTATAAAATTCACAAAATCAACTTAATGAATAAAATATCTACTTACATCATTATCTTATCCTCACCTTCTTCAAAAGTTAATTTCCTAAATATTTATGAAAAGTCCATTAAACATTGTTTAGCATATTTTAAAATATTATGTAAATATTAATTAAAAATTTCAACAAAATCATAAAAACTAATATGTAGATACATTTTTTATCTCTGTTTGAATATTACTTTACTCAAAAATTAGAAATTCTTAAGAGGGGGGGTTGGCTAGATTTAATAGATAATAAATTATTTCCTTCTATTGCATTATAAATCAGTGTCATTATAAAACAAACCATACAGATAAGAATTAAGATTATGCCAGGCTAATAATAAAATTTAATTGGATTAGAAGATGCAGAGGTCTTTCATGCTGAAAAAGAGGTAGGTATCTTTTGATACTTTAATGATTAATTTAGTTAACTTTCGTGAAATAAATTGGATTTTAGTTTACTGGCTTAAATGGATCTCATACATTATTAAATTTTTAATGTGAATAAATAAACTGTTTTTTAGGTTTTTTCCTTTACAAAATTTACTTTTTATCTTCATAAAAATCTTATTAATATAGCAAGTTGTGGAATATAAGATATTACCTATGCAGTGATAAGTTATGTTCATAGGCTTAATTAGAATTTCATAAGAGAATTAAATTGAAATTTTTATTTACATTCCCTACACTCTTAAAATTAAATTTCCTAGAAAAAAGGTTTCCAAACATTTATTTTTCACATTAGATTGGTAAAAAGTTTCCTTGATCAACCTATTAAAAGTAAGATTATTTTATCTGATTAGGTTGTATAATTTGAAACTCTGTAAGTACCACTTACTTCTCCTTCAATATGGCAGTTCCTTATTAATTTGGTTGATGAGGGTCAACAACGCTATCTTTGAATCTATCACCCACATGAATTCAAGGAAGCAGTTACAATAGATGAGATTTGTCCTCCAGATGATAACTCAGGTTTGGCTTGGAAGTGGAGCTTTAAAATATGGAGAAAGTAGAAAAATTACTTCAAAATACTCTTCCGTCATTATAAAAAAAATTGAGCGAAAGAGATGAAGTTAAGAACAGGTTTGAATAATATTTTTTCCAAGAGCGACAAGCTTAATTTTGTTATGGAAAATAACTTCATTATTTCTTATTTATTAATTTTATAAATGTAGTAAGTATTTTATTAATGTAAATAATGTGTTAAATATAAATAAATGTAGCAATAAAGATGGCAACACTAGTTCAGACTAATGAGCGACATGGGCATTCGTGGGTTGGGTCTGTTTGCTTGTGGCATCCATTAGATTAACAATATAGCTTGACTGATTTTGCTCCACTAAACTTTGCCGCCTAGGACAAGTTTCTCCTTTGCTCATCTCTAGTTCTGGTGTTAGGATAGCATAGTTTTGATGCCAAGTGACCAACAAAAATATCACTGAGCTACATGGAAGAGATCAAAAATATGTGTGAAGTCTGATGGTCTAAACCAGTGGTTGGCAAACTGTAGGAGCTAAAGAGCAAAATTTAACATTGAAGACATCCACAAAGATTTATAACAGCCATGGCTATATTTTAATAAATAATTTTTTAGTATGTTTTATTTAATAATTAATACCCCATAATACATATGAGTACATGTATGTGGATAATCAGCTAGCAGATTATTCACATGTAATTAATAAACATTCAATGTATTTCTATTAATTTTTTAAAAATAATTATTGCATATATCAATTGTTTGATTTCTGCTATGAGTTATTAAGACAGATTTATTAAGCAAGTTATAATTTACTTACCATTTTTAAAAATATTTCCTTTCTTAGTAATTTAATTTCGTAATGACTATGAAGCAATGAATATTAATGTCATTACCTTATGCAAACAACTATTAAATATAGTGATTAGTATTTTTAACTTTCCTGAAGTTGTTTGCATTAAAAGGATATGGAAGGCAAATTGTGCCATGCTTTATTTGAAAGTATCTGGATTTCTTATATTTGATATTATTCTTTATCCTGGCCTAGAATAATATCCTTATTCTAAAACCTTATTCTAGAATCTGGCCTTGAACTACTTATGTGAAGATCTGGTATTCTGAACTGGTCCTTTCATTTCATGAAGTTACTATTATTATTACCAGGAAAAATGTATGAACCTTACTAATATTATAAAAGAGCTCATGTGGTTTGGGTGCCACTGACTTCCATTTTAGGTTATCATGAAAAAAATAATTAGTTTAAAGGGGGAATGAGGTAAGGGTTCAGAGTAATTTTGGTCAAGCACTTTATCAAACCTCCTTATTATCAACTTATTGTTATATTTTTAATGATCAATGAATAGATCTTAATATTTTACTAAATCTTATTATATATTTTAATTATATAAATAGTTAGATTTTTTGTTTTTTGGTTGTAAAGGTATGGAATTGAAATACACATAGAAAATATTTCTATCCGCAGTAGTGGATCTAGGATTTAATTTTTGAGGGACTAAAATGTTATTGTTCGAATTTAAGATTTGGTTATATTTTACCATTTTGGAGGTGGGGAGGAGATCTTCAGTCCAAAAACCCTCTCCTGTTGATCCGTCTGTGACTTTTGGAAAACTGAATAAAGCCACTTGAACTAGGCTTACCAGAGCATAACAAACAGATAAGAATTATTTTGGCTAATACATTACAATTACACTTATAAAACTGCATTGTGAACTTTATATAGTGCTCATAATGCATCCTTTGAAGTATATGCATCTTCTTCTTTAAGTGCTGAATAAAACAGGATTAATTTATGCCAGGTAAAGTTAAAATTAATTTCCTGATAGAACCACACAATAAATCTTGGCTTCCTCATCTTGGCTTGAATTGAATAAGTACCAAGATAATCTATCCTTTCTGTATATGCTAAAGTACTTAAGATAAAATACATGCCATGTACAATATATTCACCTCCCTTCATCAAAAGGTAATCTAAATCCTAAATCAATCCTACCATATTGACAGCATCAAGATATTATTAGATAAGATTAAGATATTTATCTTAATTAACATCTTTAGGGCCTAACTTACCATTAGGCACAAAATAAAAATGAGTTAAGAAAATACTTCATTAAATTTGTTGGCTGTGATGGCCAAAAGTGTTGAGGTATCATCTTAGAAACCACTTTCCTAGCAACACCAATTCAAATTCAGTCGGAAAGGTAGAAATTTATTTAGAGAATCAGCTTTGAAAGAGTTTTGACCTTCTCACTCTGGTTATACAGTTGGTTAAACCTTTAGAATTACCCTCTCCCTCTCCCATTAACCAGGAAATGGAAAAATGAAAAAAAAAAAAAAAAGATATCTTCATTTATTTTTCTTTTATAGAGTTTATTGATTTACAAAATGATTAGATTATTTTCTTGAGAAAAATTTCTCTTATTTTATGAAGAGGAGTTTGTCGAAATTCATTGGCCTAGCAGCATTCAAACTTTAAATATAATTCAACTCTAATTAACTTCTAGTAATATTTTCTTCATCAGGTGCCCAACTTGTTGGGTCAAATTATTCTATATTTCACAGCTGTCAAAACTCTTTAATTAACTGATCTGTCTTTTGGCCAAATATAACATGAAATTGTTTACTTTTCAATTATTTTAGGCACTGTTCTTCTAACATGTTGCAAAACAGTAAAATTATAATTCTTCTGTTCATTATTCCTAGAATTGGTGTCTTGAGGTTTTATTTGTTACCTAAATTGGGCCATTACTCAACAACATTTTATTTATTAGCTATTTTATTACGACAATGCTTCGATCATCACTAGGGCCATTTTCAAGTCTGGAAAAAATTTAATGTCATTCATAGTTTACATTTACATTTACAAAAAATTGTATTTCACTTAATTAACTAATCTAATGATCCATATCATACAATTTTAATACACTTAGAATTGTATAGTTTTTTTAAAAACCTTTCATGTACGTAACTTTACTCATTATATACAGTTGATTATTACCTTATTAAGTCCACCATTAAATATCCATTATTTAAACTTAGTTCTCTTGAGTTAGTCAAATGTAAAGTAATAAACTGGTAACATTTAGTGGTCCATGATGCTCTGAATTAAAATGAAATTCTCCCTTTCATATATAGTTTTAAGAAAATTTAAAAAATAATTTGGCTTGGGTGAATTTTACTTTAACATTTCTTATTTATCAACTTTAATTTTGACTTTTTTCCCCTATATTTAAAAAAAATATATATTTTGAATAAAATAAAGAAAAATGGAAAAGTTTTTGTAATTTATATTTTACACAATAAATTGATAAATTTTGCTAAAATATTTCTTTAATCCTTTGTCTGCTTGTTTTTACCTTTTAGTAATTAATTATAATTACAATTTTTAATATTAAATTTTAAAAATTATATTTTGATATTTTATTGCATGTTGTAACACATTTTGTTTTATAAAAATCCAGCCAATAGATAAATCTAATTCATTTTTTTTTTTTATTTCTCCAGGGAAGAAAGTGGTTATGTCCAGAAGAAATTTTCAGAAGTGGAGGATATGGAGAAATTTGAATCAGTATTAACGGAGGACATTAAAAAGATTAGAGCACAAATTGATGACATTAGTAAAGATTATCTTGAATTACAGTGAGTACTATCTATTTCAGTTTTTATACTCATATAACAATATTTTTAACTTAAAAATGTTTAGTCTATTCATTTCAACTCATGGTCAGCTGTGAATACCATATCATATGTTGAAACCTGTCTATCATTATTATTTATAGTGACTTCTTTTTTTTTTTTTTTTTTTTTTTTTGTAAAAGCAATAAAGCCTTTCTGTGTCTCCAGTTTTCTAGAATAATAGAGAAGCCATATTTATGAGTTTTACCTTAGTTTTATTGTGTTTCTTTAAGAGAAATAAAGGATAATTATATTCGATCTATTGAAAGAAGTCACTTATTCTTAATTAAATCATGGTGCAGAAATCATACTTGCTATTTTTCTTCTTTTTTTTTTATTAAAACAAAGTTTATAACAGTACTTTCAACTTTTTAGGGTTCTGTCACATCATCGGAGCCATACTTTTTGTTTAAATAACTACATACCATTTGTTTTAGAAACTACTTCCTCCATATTAAAAAAATATTCTGTAATTTGAAAAACTAACATTTTTATAAAAGTTCTAATGTATATAAAAACAAAATATTTGTTCCAGTTTTACTATTAAGGGAGTGACGGGAAGAAAGAGGGTGTTAGAATGATTGTGATACAAATCTATTTTTCTTTTTATTTAAAAGCTGAATATGTCATACATATACTTCAATGATATATGTATATTTTCAAAAAATAAAACCATGGATGAAAATAAAACCATCAGGAGCTTTTAAAACAAATAGTTATAAAAACAAGAAGTGTGCTCCTGATGGGGTAAACCCCCAAAACATTGAAGGTACTAACTACTATAAATTTTTTTAAATAAAAAAATTAAAAAGAATGATTCAAGAATCATAATTTTATTCACTTATTAAATAATAAAATATATTTCATATGTTCTGTGTTCTTGTTCTAATAGACTGTGGTACAGACCCCTTTTTATGAAATTATTAACATCCGCCTGAAACTTCGTGAATAGCTTTATCTCATCGTAACCTACAAATATTTTATTTATGAAAACAATTGAAATTGGGGCGTTTTCAATCTGGAGATCAGCAAACTTTGTCTATTTATTGAGGTTGTAAAAACTCGTAAATATTCATCTGCTTTCCTCTTGGATCGTGTGATTATTCCACTTTGATCACAAAATCGAGAAAAAAAAGGTGGCCTACAGAAATATTGAGCTGTTTGGCCTATGTAACCTTGTTATTTTGAAATGTTGTGGTTGTAGGTTTTGTTGGTTGGGGTTGGACCAAATTGCTCAATATTTTTGAAGGTCATCTTTTTTCTCCATTTTGTGGTCAAATTATCTTACGATTGAAGTAGAAAGCAATCCTATACTACCACGGACCATAATAGAACTTTGTATATTTACCAATATACCAACATAAACATTTATTTAATTTATAGTTACGAGCCCCTGAAAGTCTCATTTAAAGATCAATAATGTTTACAGAGATACGTGTGTTGTAAGAAAGCTCTACCTGAAAGTGATTCATTTGATTCAATAGGTTTACAAAGAAAAGTTTAGCTTAAAAATTTGAGAATGATATGTCTGTTCTTCCACCATTAACAATGGCCAAATCAAGGATTTGAAACTTGAGATATTTTGATTAAATATGTTCAAAAGTATTTAAAGTTTTCATACAATTTTATTGTTGATAATGCCTCAAACTCGCTAAAGCCAGTTTTGTTTATAGTTTTAAGAAAACAAACAAAAGAATATTAATTGTATTAAATTTTTTTAATTTAGAGTCTTTCTTTTGAATTTTGAGATATGATAATCAAATATTTATTTTTAGGAAACGATTTGATAAAGCGGAAAAAGAATACTTGGAAGCCAAAGTTGAACTGTTTACCAAAGGAGAAGAAAAGGACAGACTAGTGGAAACACTTCGTGGAATTATAGAAAACTGTGAATCTGAGAAAGCAAAGAAATTGTCCCAATTACTGTCTAAATTTGAAATAAAATCAAAATTTATGATTGAAAATAAAGCAGAAAATAAATAATTTTTACCATAAACCTTTTTCTTAAATATTTTGCCAAAATCATTCTTTATTATTATTATTATATAACACATAAAAATTGGTTGCAATAATGACATAGTTGTCCCATGTTAATAATTTGCAAAGTATATTGGCTATTTAACAAATGAAGACTGGACATTACTAATGGGCTAAGTGCCAAAAATTTGATTTTAATTAAGTTATTCAAATTGTTTATTTGTCAAATAACTTTTGGTGAAAAAATCTAAATTTTATATTCATGGCCAAGAGTAGAATTTATGTTATTATTTCATAATTCTTAAAAAATCCATTCCTATAATGAATAAAAAAAATCATTTATATAGAAAAAGTAGAACATGGTAAGTGACATACATTCTCCAATAAAAATGAGCTATGGGACAATTCAAAATATCTCAAGCTTTTTGTTATTTTTTGAATAAAGTACATTATAAAATACAAATTAGTTTAAATTGATCAACTTTTGAGAATGATCTATAATTTTCTTCCAAATATGACAGAATCTGATGTAGAGATCTCTTTTTCTAAGCTACAAAATTATCTATACATGGTTATAATGATAAAACAAAGTCTTTGTTTATATAGTTGTTAAAATGTTTCATGCATCCAATTCAATAACAATTTTCTTGTCTATCTAACACATAGATTCATCACTAGTCGGGAGCTCAGATAATTCATTGTATTATATTATAATGCTATCTCTGCTTTTTTCTTTCACTTAACTATATGTGTACAGTAAGGAAAAGTTTTGCGAATGTGAAAATTTTGAAAACTGAGTTTTTAAAAGAGATACATGTTTTGAGGTCCCCTGAGTCCAAATAACCAAGTGCCATGGTTTTTAATATAATGCAGGCATTCTCATTGATGTTCTGTACCAAGATTTAAATGTCTAATTTTCAAAATTTCTTCCTCTAAAGTACTGTTCATTTTTTTTATGTGAAATAATTGACCGTTTCACATGATATAAACAATATAAAAAAGGGTTAAATATAATGAATGAAGAAAATTTATTGGTAACTATAAGAGAAATAAGAGTTGGAAGCTATTCGAAAACAGCTGAGAGTGGCCAACCTTTTCTTCTTCTCTGTTACATTTTCTCCGTTTACAGATACTTGATACCTCTCTGTACAAGGCTTTTATACTGTTAGTTTAACTTTTATGTATCACCTTTGTATAATTTTTTTAAAAGGATTTCAGACAAAATGTTGAGAATCTACTAATATAAACCTAACAATACACAATACTTGCTAACATGAAGTTATTTTTTCTTCAACTTTCATTATAAATGTTTTCAATAAAACTTGAATTTTTCCCAAAATCCATTTTTCTCCACAATCATTAGTAATGATCGATACTATATAATGTTGTAAAAGAAAATGGAAAGTGATGCAAACATAAATTTAACAGATTCGATAGGTGGTAAAAATATGTTAATCAATTGTTTTAAGTGAAGTTGCAGTATAGTTTTAAATTTGAATTCCTTATATATGAAAATCGTTTTCCACTCTAATATTGGTAAGTGAAAGTTATGTGATGCATGTGCCAGGTTTTTGTATTAGTAAAGCAGTTTTTGTTATTTTATCATCAGGTCATGGTAATATCTGTGACGATAGTAAGTCATGTTTAAAGTACTTAAATATAAGGAAATTAAAAATTACATGGTGGGTCTGGGTCTTTAAAGACACAGTACATCAATACATCCTGTTACTGTTCAGAAACCCTTTTTTCTAAAGAAAAACATTTTTTTTTTAAATAAATGGATAGCTTTCCACTTACCATGTGATTTGAATTATGATCTTAATATAGTTGTTAAAGGTGTTTTAAGCCAATTTCTTATCAAACTGTACATGTCCAGTATTTTGCATTAATTACTTCTTCTCAAAAAAAAAAAAAAAAAAAAAAAAACATATTCAGATACTCCAATAAGAGGATAAGGAGGGGATTTTTTTTTTCATATTGGTCTATTTTTGTTTCAATGAGTGATCTGAGCCAAGAACTTTACAAATTACAATGCATTATCTTTTTAAATTATAACTTACATATTTCAGATAGTAAATCAAATAAAAATACAAGAATCATCCCTAAAAGCGTTATTGTTCCTGTCATAAATGTTATTAGCTCTCATTAAATCCCCATTTAGCTAAATTAAATCCTGAAAATACCACCGTTACCATAGGCATGTCCTATTAATGATTTTGACTACATTACTCTTATTTCTGTTTATATCCATTTAAAAAAATTGTGTGTTTTTTAAATTAAACTTCTTTTTGGAATCTTAAAACCTTTGATTAGGTAGCATAATACTTGTAACAGAATAAAATTTGGTCAAAAGCTCTCTTCTAACAACCCGAGATTAGTTCTTTATAAGAGAACACCTAATATAAAAAAAATATTATGGTACTTAATTCTAAAAACGATTTTAAATGCATATTTATATCAATAAATTATTCAAAAGTTTGTTATTCCAAGTTTTCTTATTGTCATGCTATTATTCTATTCATATTTTCAAATTTTAAGAGAATATTTCATGGAACCTGTGTGATACATTTTAATAGGCTACATTGTCTGAGCATGGGAATTATTTTTTCAGCAGCATATAGACAATCATTGTTCAGTTTTCAGATAGAAAAATTACTTTCCAAGATAGTGTGTTTATGATTCTCTTTACTACACGATAATCTTCCTTGCAAGCATTATTTTTTTGTTCTGTAATTCGATAGTTTTGCCACCTATTGAAAGACTAAAAAAGTGTGCTTTGTTTTTCAAATATTTGGATAAAAATACAAGGTAAGCGAATATTGACCAATTATTGTTTGATGCACAGTAACTAATTAAAATATCCTTAATGAGGGGTTTCACAAAAGAAATGTTTAAAATATGGTGATCTCTTTTTAACTTTTGACTGAAGGGTTCTACTTTTGCTTGCTAAAACCAGATTTGGACCTTAATCTTGGGTATGTCGGAGGCAATAAGCAAGATATCCCAAGAAGGAAATAATTTATTTTGAAAAGTAATTTGTAATTAGTTTGTTTTAAAAAGAAACAAAGTATTTAGTACTTCTTTCTTGAAGTCTCTGATAAGTATTCTTTTTTTGTTGTCTTTCTTTCCTCACAGAGACAGCCAATATTTTTTTCTGTTCCTTGAATAAATAATTTTGAACTAGTACCCAAAAAAAGCAACTACTGTAAATAAATCCTACTTTTATTTGATTTATTTTAGTACTCATGTATTCTGCAAACAAACCATTGTGAGGGTTCTCATCACCAGCACTCTAACAAATGTAAACATTGAAATTTATAACTCTCACACATTTTAGCTTTGCTTCATGTCACATATTATTATTTATGGTCCAAGGAAGCAAACAGAATATTTTGGGAATTATAGATGATAGTTCAATTGCTCCAAATACTAAACCTGAAAATGAATCTTTTCTAAATTATTTATATTATGATAAAAAAATGTTAATGTTTTTTCTCAATATAACATTATTGAATGACATGGAAAGATGAATAAATAGATAAATATTTTTTAATATTTTATTAAGTGAAAACAAAATTATTTAATCACATGTATTATTAATTTGTGCACATGTAAGGAAATACATCATATGTTTAATAAATAACAAAATTTTAGTGACAAGAAACAATAAAAAGAAGTGCTTGAATATGACCAAGTATCTACAAGTTATCGTTATAAATTATTAAACAAAAAAAAAGAAAAATGAATATATGAAATCAAATTAAAATGTAAAATACATATCAGTCTATAAATATATTTATGTATGTACACTTGTATTCAAGGAGTATCCGCTACACATATAAAAGACTCATTCAAACATTATTGTACACATTCAAACTTAGGTGTAACGGTATCTTTTTTTTATTTTTAATGATTATTCACAGCCAATACATCTAATATAAATCAACTGGCACCTAAGACTAGAGACACAAAAAAAAAAAAGATAGGTATAAATAATACATATTTTTAAAATTTTATAAATGATTTGGTGCCCTAATAAAATGAATACATTATGTACTCAATGTTGAAATAATATATTACTCTTATCAATTCTAAAAAAAAAAATATTTTAACTGGGTTACATCGTCTTTGACGTGATTAACAACAACTACAAACTACTACATCTAATCTATTTTTCCTATAAGTAAACACAAAAACGAAAATATATACACCTAATTATAAATGATGTTGGTAATAGAACATACAAATACATTCAAACTAAAATTATGTTCAAATTCTTATTAAATTAATTTGCTTAACTCATTAAACGGAAGGGGCTCATATATATGTTGTAGTATTTGGTTCAATAAATGTTTAGTGTCATAAAATTATTTATGGTGCTTTCCTCTGCTCAAGCAAAACATATAATATATTCGGCAATGAGGAAAAATATAATTTAGCTTTGATTAATTGTAGATTATATTGAACACAATTTGTTTTCATCCATTTGGATTAAATAATAGAAATAGATTTTTTTTCCTCGTTTTCGGCTACACAAGAGTTATTTGGCAGCATTTTTACAGATCCATAATCCGGACCCAATGACTAGGAAACCATTTTAATAAATTTTTTGGTATTTGTTAAAACTGACATCATTGAATAGTAAAATTCAATAAAAAAATTAAATGAGTTCCATGGAAAGTAGAAAAGAATTACTGAGAGGATTTCAATTACAGGTCATTCTATCTTGACAGCAGATTTGCAAATACACCACCAGCTCCAGAAGTGTTAATAATAAAGCTGAAAAGCACATATTCGCCGCATGTTCCTGGAAGTACAGGACAGACATTATGTTTGGTGGGGGAGCTAAGAGATTACAGGGGCTCATTCAGTTTTCACTTTCATCACGGACTCAGCGACGGCAATCCACTCGTTTTTGGCCGCATGGAACCAAGTCAATCCCAGGTTGTATCTGCCGTTGAGGTTGGCGTGTTGGCAATGGGAGAACCACCATCCGCCTTCGTAATTCTCGGCGCAGTGGGTGTTGGAGACGTCGCGGTCGGAATCTTTGGCACTGAACTGCATCCCGTTCTGGTAAGCGAGGGCGTCGCTAGCGTTACCGGAGAATCCCGAGACAGTGAGTGGAAAGCCCTCTTCCCGGGAGCCGACGTGGAACTGGGAGTACTCTGCCAGCCAATGCTTTCCGTAGATGTCCACCATCTCCACGCGGAGTCGGCTCCTGTTGGCGACTGTCAGGAGGTGGAGCGCCTCGTTTCCGATCCAGAACTCACCTGAAAAAAATAGAAAAGACAAATTATTACAAAGCACATTAAAAAAAACCTATATATATTTAAAACACCACAACATTCATATTCGACAATGAGGCATAACGAACTTGGAAAGTCTATGCTTACTGATAACACTAACAAGTAAGATAAACCTGAAAGTAAGAATTTAAAAAAGTATTAAATTTTCTTTCTTCGTTTTAATGAATGAGAAACTAGGTAACCTACATGAAATAAGGTAACTTAAAAATATGAACACCGAAATTGGGTGTGTATATTATAGAATTTAGAAGAGTTCATACCGTGTAACCACTCATTAAATATAATCATTCATATTAAACCACTTGAAATTTACTTAAAAATTATCTACTCCAGCTAGATAATTGAAGCATTTTCTATATGAATTCGTACTTCGAGCTACGACATTACAGAAGTGCTCCCTGGAGTATAACATCTTTCCAAACTTTGAGAACATTTGTAGGCGGCTCTTTTACGGAGGTTTGCATCTTTAAGGAACTTTTGTAATTGGTCGTTAATATTCAGGTCCGGTATTGATCGTAAACAGTCGAAGCGGTACATTAGAGTTGAACTTTAACGGTTTTAACAAATTTATTCTATTGATAGAACCTTAAATATAACACCTGACCAAACCCTTTGACAATAAGTTACATAAAATGCCATTGACCGATTTTATAAAAAAACAAACGACAAGGGTAAGAGTCGAATTTATAAAGCTAATGCTGAGGGAAGAATCGGGGCAATGTATCAGCTTCGAGTTGTTTTATTCATTGTAGAGGATCACCGGGCCTGGCAGTCATGTATAAATCAACAGGTTCCACATTCACAAAACAACCTGGCGATATTTGTATTTCAGTGAGCTTGATTTGAACATTGTATATCAGCATGCAGTAAAGATGTTTGGCAGAGTGTAATAAAACTATAAATGTAGCAAGGACGAGCACTGCAAATAAAGGTTGATTATACGAGAAAATTGATGGAAAAGGTGCGTAATTTTTAATCATACTTCTATGACTTGTATGTTTATACGGACAAATTAATTCTAGTTTATTAATATAAACGGGCAAAACTCACTAGTTATAAAGAAAAAAGACCAACTATGCAGTCTTAAATCTCTAAGAGAAGAATAGCTCTAAAAGAAAGATGTCTGAGGCTATGAATATTGTACAGAACTTAGATAATGCTGTTATTTACAGGACTGTCTGTAGAAATTTGGAAAATGTCTTGTATGATTCTAATATATCTAGCTTATTTTCTTTTTCAACTTTGTCAGGGTGATCAGCTGTTTTTGATATTAACTTTACTTTTTTTTTTTTTTTTAATTTCTCCTTGTTTTCTTTTGTACTTATTATTATTTCTTTTCTTCTTTTTATATGTATTTTATTGTGACATATTTATGCATTTTGGTTGGCGATTACATGTTTTTTTATCTGTTTAAAATGTTTTTCTTACTTTCCTTCCATTTCTTTAAGTATGCGATTGGATTTGATGGAGTGATCCACTTTTTTCCTGTTGTGATGTCTGAGTTGGTGAATCATTGACGGATTATTTGGTTCCTTCTCTACATTTTAGAAACACAGGACTGTGTGGTTTGGATTTTCAAATTATAAATTAACATCTGGCATTTTGTTTTTGTAAAATTTAATGATAGCTGTATGTAATGCTGTTTATCGAGTCATCGTATACTTAAGCTGTTTGGAAAAAATGGTGAACACTTCTTAAATGAGATGAATTAGACGATTCGAACGTAAGCATTTGTTAAGAACAAACTTCATAGCATTAAATATTTTTCAAACAAACAAAGTCCTTAAGATGGCCTGAATGGAAAAATAAGGGACTTAACATCAGGAGCCAACAGATGTACTGAAGAGGCACTCGGGGTCGGGACTCTATTCCCTCCCACGACCTACCGATATTTTTTTTTCATCGATATTTAATCTCTTGTAATCAGCTCTGAAGCTCCCCCTTCTTATCTGAGTGATGCAATTTTAGAAAAGATCATTAAACGGATTTCATCTTTTAATATATTTTCTCATCACCATTTTTCAAAATTTTTTAGCGAGTCAGGTTTACTTAATTGACTTTTTGAGGGGAGGAGACAAGGAAATTTATTACGATCGTTTCTTACCACAAGTATATAAATATAAAAATATTCTTCAGAAAAAAATGTTTAATGGTAATTTGTTTTTTATGGACTGACAAGATATTATGTAAACTTATACAATATACATGACAAAACCATGAAAAAATTGTTATTTTTAAGTGCTATATAATGTCTTGAAAACGATTTTTTTTTTATTATTATTATTATTTTTTTTCTATGAAACATTATAAGTATATACTCGATTTATTGCAAAATCTTATCAAGCAGCATTTCATAACCCTAAATTAATATGAATTTTGATGATTTTTCCCTGAGTGAAATCAGAACATTGTGCACTTTTATAACTATATCTTTTATATAAAATGGTTTGTGTCATTTTAGTGCCCTTATCTTTTATTTCTAAGTCGAAATTCACATAAACGTTCAGCTGCACCAAAAACGTACAAGCAGAACATATAACACAACGAAACTATTTTTTGTTTTCAATTATTCACATCCTATATGTGTGAGGTACCTTCCTATGTACGTGAAATACCTAGAAACAATCCATGAGTGAAATAAAGTAGATGAGTAAAACCCAATTATATTTTTCAAAATCTACTTATTTCACATTTAAAAAAAATGTATATAAATATATATATATATATATATATATATATGAGAATAGAATCTGACAGTGTCATTTCCGTCAGGTGGTTTCTTGCTCTATATCAGTCTATTCTGGCAAAGAGTGAATCGAAAAAAATAAAAAAAATCTTTTTACGATTATGACTATGAACAACAGTGAGGTGCAGCGAAACCCCAGTTGCTATCTTTGCATATTTTTGGTTTCTAGATAGATTGTAAATAATAGATCAAAATGAAAACCACGCAGCTTATTCTACACTAGAATCTAGTGAAATGAATAGGTGCATGCAGCTTTGTCTCGAAGAATTGTTTATGATAACTAGCCGAAGAATACTTGTTTCGAAACAGACAAATGTAAGGTAAGTGAAGAATTAACAACAACGTTCTCCTAGATTAACTGAATCACGTGAACTTTTTGGGATCATTTTCAATGACACAATTAAACCACAAATTGCTACTTTTATAATTCAGTTTAAAAAAATATAATCTTGCAAAAGATTTCAGAATGGTTTATTGATATATTTAAAAATTTAAATGCACAATAAAAAAAAAACTAGTGTTTTTTTTTTTTTTTTTTTTTTTTTTTTTTTTTTTTTTTTTTTTTTTTTTTTTTTTTTTGTCCTGAACGAATCTAAACCTAAATCTGGTCCTAAGCCTGGAAGGGCTAGGGAACATATATCAACCTCTAAGTAAGAATCAATACATCAATTAATTGCTCCGGAAAGCCCGGCTCGATCACTCCGTCAAGAGTGGAAGTGCTCCCTAGCCAACCCTAAATAAAAACTTTCTCCTGCTCCAAAAGTCCTGAATCCTTGTCTGGAACTCATCAGGTGTCTGGAATGCTGGAGTCTAAGGCCCTATCAAGGCATTACCATCTTTACGAACCTTCTTATAAGGACATTTACATAGAGGCGGATGATCATTAAGATCAAGGACGTAAGTGGCGTCCACAAAAACTAGTCATCTACAAACGAAAGGTTTTTTTTAAAACTTCCACTTTTTGTAAAATTAATCTGGCTAATATGTAATAGGTCTGTTCTTCGTATGTCCATCCGTCTGTTAACTGAAAATTATCTTGATAGTCATTCATTTCTCATATGATCCAACAAATTTTCGTGTGCGGTCCAGTTGTGTCGATGTAATTGCATACTTTAATTAGAAATGTCTATCGGTTGCCACACAATGTATCTTAAAACCGGCTTAATTCTTCAATATATTTCTGACAATTATTGAATCTTTAATCCTTGAGGCAGTGTTAATCCGTTGATGTAATAGGCCATGTTTTGAACCCGTCAAGTACAAAAAAAGTTTCTAATCTGAAATTATGAACACTTCGGTGCATCATCGGCACCTAATCTCCCTTACCAAAGCGGCAAATGATGTTTAAGATGGAAGAGGGAGTAATGCAATTAGTGCAATATCGGAAGACCAGGGGAGAAGTTCCTGCTTCTAATTGATGAGCTCTAAATTTAACTTATAACCAAATTAAAACTCCCGATGAAGATGATTGTAGCGATTTCCGGCCTTGCGTAATAATTCCAACAGGAAAATCTCTTCCTTATAACAAGCATAATGATGTTTCCCTCGGGGAGTCTCTTGTTAAGTGCGTACGGGGATCGCGTCGACATTCTATCATGAAAGATTTTTCATCAGTTTACAAATCACATAGAAATGCAAAGTCATTGCGGAAACTGCATTGCAGAAATTATTACAAATCTTCTTCAAGCAAAGACATTGTTCATTGAGCTTTTGATGATTTGCAATTTCGGATTTATGCGGGGTTATTTTTTAACTGCAAATTGGATACTTTTTTTAATTATCGTACCAACTTATCTAAACATCTAAATTTATAAAAAAAAAAGGTAATAATAAAAAAATAGGTATGATTATAGTTATAAAAGGGATGAATTATGAAATTCTCTATTCACAGCCACCACCCTCCCAAATGGGAATATCCTTTGTCTTTCTGAACAAGATGCCCTTTTCGACGTCTCAATGCTATCTTCTTTTCCATTTTTCTTTGCCTAGCGGCATCTCGTATTGTTCATTAAATTAAAATGGGTGGGGCGACTCTTGTAAAAAAATTCTTTTTGTAACAGCGTTCCTACTATCTAAAAGTTCCTGTTGGGGAAAACACTCCTTTACTCCGATATGATGAGTTGAAACCATCATCATTTTATCGGTTTTTTGTGGGGTAAAGACCAGTGGAGATTTGTGAGTTGTTTTAAATCAACAGAAAAAGACATAAATAATGAAA